AGCTGCAGTTGCCCTAAGCAGAGAGTAAGAACTGAAGCATGCTTTCTTTTCACAAGATGGAGGTAAAAAGAAGCACAGAATAGCATGAAACTGTCCCAAGAAGACAAATTTACCACCAATTTAACACCTTCTTAAAGTAATGCAATGTCTTTTTGTAGGTAAACATGTTCTCACTTAGAATTTCAAGTTAATTTTCTATGTCAGTTTTTGCAAACTGAGTATCGATCTTCTCCACTACCATACCTATACATATTTTCCCATGTTTACAGACCTGAAAAAAGTATCTGCTAGCAGCATCATACCTTAGTTCCAGAGGAAAACTGTGCCAATGACTCTGTGGAACATAAATAGTAACACTCCCTTTTACCTATTTTTGTTGAAGGGAAAAAACTCTTTATCTGTCAACCATGAGATGCAATGGGATGTGAAGGACCTCCAAACAATGAAGCTTTAAGAAACGGTTCCTAAAGACGATTTAATATTTCAGAATTGGTTGCAATTGGCGCCTTTCTATAATGTACTAAACCAGCCCACTAATGGTAATTCTGTCTTCTTTCCACCTAACGTAAGAGATAAGAGAGCAGTCTGCAGGGTAAACAAAGATTTGGCTTTCCAACATGAAAAGTCATGTCAAAAATATATTTTTAATGGACCTGATTTTTTGTGGGCTTCCCATCAGGTGTTTTTGAAAACAAATCTTGGAATTTAAGAGTCTAAGACACATTTGAAAAAAATCTTTCTCATCTGATGAAATATACTGGATCATTGTACATCCCTTCCTTTTGTTTGACTAATAAAACAAGTCCGACCTGTCTAAAGAGAAGATTAGCTTTGATTATTAAAAGCAGTACAGTTTGTGCTGAATTTAATATGAATGCCTGATAGTATTACTGCAGTAATATAAAAACAATAATTAGGACATAATTAAATCCCACAATTTACAAGTGACAGGGCAATAGGAACAACACAACAATGTACTGTTCATCAGCTTAATTTACTGCATTACGGAGCACAAGCCCATGCTAAGAACAGCTAATGGCTCTGCCTTAGAAATATAATGATTACAATAGAAACTCAGCAACTCCACTTTTCTGGACAATATGTCAAATTGGCATAACAAACAATCACACACACTAAACCAAAATACTACATGAACAAAGTTCCTAGCAATAGACTCCAGAAACTCTCAGTTATCTACCAGTAACTTAATTCAGTAGGAAGCCATTCATGAAGAACAGAAAACAGGACAACTATGCTTTTGGATGACATGGTCAAAAATGGACCAAATTCAGAAACAGCAGAGGACTGAACAAATTTTGACTGTATGACTTACAGGGACAACATATCACCTGCCAATGAGACAATTCCATACTGAGCACAGCCTTATCACCTAAACCAACTGACCTGGCCAGCACTGATGCTTCATCACGGCACAATAAGGACAAAAAAGTATTGACTTTGTAGTTACAAGCCCAGCCCAGAAATGTCACTGCACTACACTCCTCATAGTATGAAAGCCAGAGAGGCCTTCTGGCCCCTTGGAACACTGTTCTAGCATTATGTTCAGGATATCAGTGCTCCCATAATGCAGAACACTGGTGGCCCTGACACAGATAAATAATACAGTAGTCAGCAGGAAAAAGTGCAGCTGCCACTGCCGTGAGTGAGAATACAGCAAAAGCTAAAGCTTTTAGTTAAGCTGTGTGGGTATTGGTCTCTTCTCCCAGGCAACCAGCAGTAGAACGAGGACACACTTTGAAGTTGCACCAGGGGAGGTTTAGGTTACACATTAGGGAGAAGTTCTTTACAGAGAGAATGACTGGGCATTGGAACGGGCTGCCCTGGGAGGTGATGGAGTCACTGTCCCTGGAGGTGTTTAAGAAGAGACTGGATGTGGCACTTAGTGCCATGGTTCAATAGACAAGGTGGTGTTAGGTCAAAGGTTGGACTCGATGATCACAGAGCTCTTTTCCAATCTAGCTGATTTTGTGATTCTGTGATTCTCTGCGGTTATTTTCATAGCAAAATACGTAAGTCTGGGGCATTTATTTCTTCTTGGATGAGGCACTGGGTAGTGGTAAAATACAGAGGGATTACAGTTAGAACCAAGACAACTGACAGCTTGAAATGATCTTACATAGCCTCCCCTTGTGCCCTTACGAATTCAGGCTCCTACCAGGCACCTTATTTTATTTTTGTTGTATTGAATAGGTTGCCATAAGGCATTGGGCATTATATTAATAGGGTCTAACCAGTTGAATTCAGACTCTCAAGGCTAAATCCTTTACCTAATAAATCACATTTACTCCCTATTACCGTGTGAAGCTTTCTATTGCAGTGTAAATTAACTTCTTGTATCTACTTCCCTTTCTCTTAGGAGACCTAAAGCTACGACCATCTTTTAATCCTAACCAGTTCCTAGATAAGGAAGGTAGGACAGATTTTGGAAAACAAAACTGCATTGCTGATGCACAGCACTCTCTCCAGTCTGTTATTTATTTAGTAAGTTCTGCTTTGTTAACATGTTAGTTTACAATATGATACAGAACATAGCACTTGGAAAAGAGGATATCAGTTACTGAGATTATCACAGCAGACTGATCCTTTTTTGTGTCATGTAGGTTCTGCAGCCTGTTTCAATGGGAAAGCCTTGAGAATTTTGGAGACTGGCTCTGCAGCAAACCTATCTGTTTGAGGAGGAGAGCTGGGTTACACAGGCATCTCCCAGCTCCTGCTCCAGTTGTACTGCTAACAAACGGATCATTATAATTTGTAATTACGCCTAAAAAAAGGGGCCTGGGACTTTCATTTGGGTGCTTGCATTTTGTAAGGCAGCACACACCAGAACTCAAGATTTTTCTAAAGCAAAAAGCAGAAGGACAGTTCTGTATCCTCCACACTCCTCAAAAAAGAGGGAGAAAAGCTGCCTGGATAGGTTGTCAGGAAGGAATGGAAAGTCACTTCACTTGCAAAGGATTTTGCAAGTAAAAAATTTTTTTACTTGCTCCTCTGCTCTCAGAACACTAAATCACGTACCTGCTGTGCACTACAGACATCAGCCAGGAGTCAGACTTTAACAATCCTTGTGGGTCCCTTCCAACTCAGGATACTCTGATTCCACTTTTTGCAGCTCATCCTATTTTTTCTTCTGTCAGCAGACAAGATGCTTCAGCAGAAGGCTTTTCAGCCTTTTGTTCACTTTTGTTGCAAGATGAGCTCTCTTAAAAGTAGTGTTGAATTAAGATCTTGTTCAGGGATTAAAGCGGAACGCCATCAATATCTTACAAATCATATGTTACATTTTAGGATTCTCTCATCCCCTACAAGCCCAATGGAAGCACTCTGTCCCTGCAATCTGTCACATTTGGTGACACTGCAGGAATCAGTACATCACTAACACAACGCACCAGAAAAATCTAGGAGGTAAGAAATTACACCTGCAAGTATAATGAGCTGTACAATCCAAGAGGGATTTTCCTTCTTTATAATTCTATAAAGGTCATTAATGTCATTAAGTTGTGTTTGGTGTTTTTATCAGTACAATAAACCAAAAACAAATCAGATTATGGAAGCTACTTTATTGTAATCGTGAAAGATGAGGTTTTCAAATGACTGCTCTCTTTGTTGTAAGATATAACCACAAAAACCTTATCGAAACCAATCACCCTGTCTCTTGTGTAAAAAATATTTCTCCTCAAGTGCTGTGGGAACAGCAAATGAAAGCAAGAAATATGAGAGCAAGTCATTTGTCCAAGGTCACACCCCAGGCCAATAGTAGATCAAGGAAGAAAACTACGGCTGCCTCATTTGGAGTTGCCATCTGCTCATAAATCTAGACTCCAAACACATTCTATACGCAGACTTTGGCACCTTTGTTTAACTCAGCTTGAACCTGCTCAACAAAACAACATATGTCCCAATTTCCACTGAATAATGGTGCTCCTTTGGATCTAGATTCACACTGGAAATTAAATGTCCGGACATTAGGATGCCACAAAAATGGATAGCACAAACTTGATGTCTTCTAATCTCTCACAAAGTTTTTTTCTCTGGCCTGCTAAGAAACTGCACTGTTCTTAGAGTCTCAATGTCATTAAACTAGAATAGGCATGCCATAATTAGCACACACAACCTACAAGCACAGCAGAAAACAGAAGAAGTAAAAGATGCCAGCTCAAGTTATTGGAAAGCATATAAACATGACTCATTAGATTTTTTGGGATAGATGAAAAAGCATGAATTTAATTTACTTTATGAGTTCATCTTTACCTCTTGCAAGTACTCTAGTCCTTCATCTAACTGCACAACAGTTACCTTTTCTTCACTGTCTTGTTTCTTAGCTATGGAAACTCCATCACTTTCCAAAGGAGGAGCAATATTTCAGACTGAAGAGATTTCTAAGGCATTGCCTAAGAGAATTGTCTGAAAACAGTGAGTTCTGAGAAGGAAAAAGAAAAATGGTATCAAGGGGCAAATTCAGTTAATGAGAGAAAATGCAAAACCTCCTGAGATTCCAAGAGCCAGCCCCTTTTCAACACAGCACATCTGTCCATCAGTGGGTGATTAACAGGGAAGTTACTGATCCACCTTGGGACATCTAGAGTAAAGTTCTCTGAATGTTTGAACATATTCAGGTGATTCCTGTACACCCTGTGTGTAGGTTTGGCCTCTACCACAGTGAATGTTTTTCTGGAAGTAAGTCCTTTGGAACAGGGAAATAAAATGCATCCTCAATCTAAATTACAACTATCCTGTTGAAGGCATAAATCAGGCATCCATTTACCATTAACACTGCTGGTGCTGACAACAACAACAAATCAAGGAAAAAATAATTTAATCCAGGAAATTACTTTGTTCAAGACCCTGTTATAAATATCACGCATTATATTTATAAAAATATTATCTATAAGTGTATATACAGGGCACATAAATGTACCCTATAAATGTACATATTACTTATAATGATATTCCTTAAAATAAACTCCTTAGAAACAGCTTACCATTTATCTTCTTTGCTCAAGATCCAGAGGTGTATGCATCTCTTCCCAAATCTCTTTACAGAGATGCAAAGAATTAATCCTTCAGGCCAAAATCTGTCCAGAAAAAAAAAAAAAAAAAGTATAGCAGTGCTAAGCACTGAGTGTTGGGAGTTTCCCTTCCTTATTACCCCATGTTGGAGTTTGAATAGGTGTGTCACATAATTATTAATTGCTCAGTAGACAGCAACAGTTGTCAACACCCTCCCAGCAGAGCACTTTGAATTAAGTTGCTGTATAAGACACAGGAGAAAAAAAAAACAAACAAAACAACACAAAAACCCACAAACAAAACAAACCAGAAATCACACACCAAGTTAACAAATCATCTCTTTGATCCTCAATCATGCCTTTGTGGATGAAGACCTCTAAAAAGCAAAGTAGCCCACAACAAGAAGACAACAGGGTAGAAAAAACTGTCATGCCAGACCAGCAGTTTCCCTTTGCTTCTCAAGATACTCTTTAAATGTAAGAAAATGGGAAATAAGAAGAGAAACTTTACTCTTTTAGCACCACAAAAATTTGATGCAGGTTACCTGGAAGTTACTTCTCATCACCTTGTCAAGACTTTGTTGACAGATAATGAGTTGTTAATACCAGAATTGAGCAAGTATTTGTTTTCCTATGATGTTGACTGTGAAGGACCTGGATGACAAGTCAAGGATTTTTTTACCAGCTGCTGGTAATCAAAACTGACACATCTGCCAAAACAGTGGTGTACTTCATAGGTTCACCTTGTAACACCTTGTGGTTTAGAACCTGCAAGAGAAATTTCAGTTGCTTCACCCTTCAATATAGAGGTGTTGCACAGCAGATAAATCCTGCTGCATGAACAGCAGCTCCAGGCTGTACTAATTATAACGAAGTTTTAACCTCATCAGTATGTTGTTACATAGTAGGTAAGACCCTAGGAGAAGACACAAGTAGGCCAGCTGACCCAAACCGACTAAGGGGATATTCCACACCGTATGACGTCAGCTCAGATACAAACGCCAAGGCAAGGAGGAGGAAGGGGGGCGTTCATTTTGTCTCCAATGGCTGCTTGCTGAGGAACCGTCATGTGTGCTGAAGTCCTGCTTCTCAGGAGCGGCTGGACATCGCTGCTGATGGGAATTAGAGAACATACCCTGCTATATTTTGCTTCACTTTCACATGCGTAAGCTTTCACTTTAAATAAACTGCCTTATCCTAACCCAGGAGCTGTTTTCTCCCCTGTCCAGCAAGGAAGAGGAGAGATAGAGAGACTGGGTGGGCACCTGGCATCCAGCCAAGGTCAACCTACCACATAGGCAAACTTGCTGAGGCTGCACCTGATCCCGCTGTGTTTCTCCCACTGACAAAGATATTGAAGTGTGATGGTCCCAATACTGACCCCTCAGGGGTCACCACTGCTTTCCACTTGGCCATTGAGCTGTTGATCACAATTCTTTGAGAAAAACTCATTCAGACAAATTTTTTATCCAACGAGTGGTCCATCCATCAAATCACAGGATATTCTGAGTTAGAAGGGACCCACAAAGATCTTCCAGTCCAACTCTTAAGTGAATGGCCCACAGGGATTGAACCTGCAACCTTGGTGTTATTAGCACCATGCTATAACTAACTGAGCTAAAGTTATGTTAATAATGTTAATGTGGAATAACATACAGTGGAATAATATTAATGCACATTTGTAGTCTCTAATACTCATACAGGCTAATATACAACACAGACTGATTTGTATCTAGCATCAACCCTGTAAGAAAGAGGTCTGCAGCACACATACAGTGGTCAGAAGTCTCAGGCTAAATTGATAAGTTTTTTTAGCTTTTCGTCAGTTTGGTTTGAAATGGTTTTGATTTTCTCTACATTCTGTAACCATTCTCACATCCAGGTACCAGAAATGAGGACCTGAGACACTTTGCCACACTAATGCTTCCCTCTGTGGATGTCACAATGAGACAAGATCACGTGGCTGCTTCAGGTTGTCTTCTACACAGCACAGGCTCCTGAACTCAGAATACTTGTTTCCAGCCTCTTAGTGTCATATCTCCTTTTAAAAGCAGGTCCTGCTCCCATACTTATAGACACGTTCTTCAGGTCATCCCTGTGTGCCAGAATCAGCTCTACCCCTGATCTGCCATCAAGATTTGATGATGGCAAAAAATTGTCATCATCACCACCATCATCCCCACTTGGAGAAAGGGAAGGGGATTGGCTTTTCAGTCAGATTAGTTTCCCAAGCTGACACATTCCTAAGGCCAAAGAGGAGAGAAAAAGGACTGGCTCTTTGGCTCTTTGGGTGGGAGCTAACCATTAGATCAATTTGGCTGTGCATGGTAAAACTTCACCTTAAGCTTGATATCATCTGTGCTCTATTAGAGGTTTGCTCCCAGGAGTACTTTGACTGACAAAGATCTCTAAAAACACTTTCAGCATGAAACATTTCCTCTGCAGTTGGAGGTAAACAAACCGATGGAGCCTTCTCTATCATGTTTATCGGATTCTGAGATTCAGGCCTAAGGGTTTTTTACATCCTAGAGAAGAAATACAGTGATGCATGTGCTCTTCCCAGAAAGAAAAACACTGCTCAGCAGGAAAACCAAGCAAATCTAGTATGGCATTTTAGTTTCTTACTTCACAACACAAAAATTCAATTTTAACTGGACCAGCACTAATTAGTACAAGTAAGAAAGAATTAGGAACTTTGTATCTCCTATCACTGTCATAGTGTTTTCATGACTATTTCACTAGCTGCCAAGATGACCTTTTTACAGACGGATGAACAATAATGGCAGTCTCACTGTTTATTACAATTGATTGCAAGCAGATGAGAACACTAGAGTCACAAAAATCTAACACAGAGTCTGACAGTGCAGCCAGATGGAAATTCCTTTGGAAAGTCAAACAGTCCTTCATGCAGGAAAATACTTAGAAATGGAGTTTATTGAGAGGGCATACTGCTCTTCTAGTACAGGTCACAAAAGAAAAGTGTATTGACCAGTTGCTTTTTAAATATGACCAGTCCTTTGTATCCCTTTATTTTCACATGCTTTTTCCTTCCCAAACCACCCAGATCCATTTCTTTCCCTGCCTTCGGTTTCTCCCATAAACATCCCATAATAGGTCCTGTGTAATCCCTAAATGCTCCTAATGTGTTGCCTACCTCCAGGCAGCAAATTCAGGAAGTCTGTGAGGTGCTTCAGCATTGACTCGTCTTAAAGCATTTGTCTCCCAAGTCATGGAGGTGAAGCTCCCTCAGGACAATGCTGGAAGGGGCCCTTCCTCAGTATCCTTAATTTGCTTTTCTGCCTGACACTGTGTCCCTGTGCTCCTTCAGGTTTGTAGAGATAAGGTGATGGCTCCTGTGATGGGGTTGGAGGCAGCTGGGGGAAGTGTTACTGAGGCTTCTCCACCTGCCAATGTCTCTCTGCTCTGCCTTGTGGAGCACAGCCAAGTTTTTATCACACAAACTGATGCAATTTCTCAACATTATTTCTTAAGTAAGAAAAAAGGGCAATACTGAGAGAAACAAAGACAATCCAGAAATTACTGTAGCCTCTTTCTCAGAATCTAGGGTTATCCAGAAGCAGAACCAATTTGCATTTATCAGGCCTCAGCCAATTTTTTTACTCCTTTTTTTCAGCATTTCTCACAATGTTTTCACTAGACAACCCTGACAAAGAGCCTGGGTAAAGCTGAATAACTCCCAAGTCATGTAGTAAGTAGGTATATTAACCTTGCAAAGACGTAGTTAAAATATGGGAAAACTAAGACACTTTGAACTTAGGCATCACTTAGGTGAATTCGTATCTGGAATCTCAGTTCCATTCAGTTGACTCCTAGTCTTTTGTACTAGACATGTTGCTTCAGCACTAACTTCTGGATTTTGTTTCAGCTCCCATGTGAGCCACAAAATGTTTATGTCCTCATCCTCTTTGGCACAAAATGGGATCCACAGTCCAAGAGTTCTTTAGCCTTCACTGAAGTATGACAGCCTACGAGAGCACAAGAAGAGATTCTGATGCTCACACTTGTTGCAGATACACGAAATCTTTAAGGGAGTGATTTTAAAAATCATTATTACTATTATTATTAAAAAAAATCCAAACACAAGACCCAACCAACCCACTCCACCCCCCCCCCCAAAAAAAAAACCCACAAAAAAACTAACCAAAACAACCAATCAAAACCAACACAACGCACCAATCATATTCTATCTACTAGAAGAAAAAATGGTTATTTCAGCAACTCTGGGTCCCTTGACCAAACTCCAGAGAGGTGTTTGGAGGCAAGAATGTAATGTAGAACAAAAGCCTGAAGCACTGAAACAAATGCACAGATGTATTGCTTCTGACTCACTCGTTCAAACCACTTTTCTCATTCTCACAGGCAACGTATTTCCATACTTGCAGGAAGCGATTAAGAAAGGTCCAGTGTGGGGCGCTTGGTCTCAGGGGCGGTGGTTTGCACTACAAGATAGAATGTGTGTATCTCCTTTCTCTGTTTTCAGGGAAGAATTGTTTTAATTTAGAACATTGTAATCTTCATGTGGGTCCTCAAATATCCCCAAAGTAGAGGGGTTACACACAGTATTCTGCAGAGGTAACTCAGCTACCCCGGGAAGCATTGTCCTCACTTGTCCCTAGATAAGCAGCACAAAGCCAATAGGTCTCTGATCCCTAACACTGACCTGAAGGTCCTTACACAATTAATATTTTCATTCATCACTTATAATTGTCTCATACTGCTTAATCTTCTCTTGAAATTTTAATTTTTCTTCACAACAACCAAATAGCTCAAGGACCACCTATGAAATGACACTGGGAGAAAAGCAGAATAAAACTGAACAGTAAATCAGATCCATTTTTGCCATGGGGCACTAAACTGTTTCTCATGTTGCTTTAGTGGATGAAAAGAGTGGTCCTCACTCAATTTAAATCAATGTTCCATTTAATGCAAAAGAGCCATGCATATGTACACCAAATTAAAAAGACATCTGTGGCACTAATGCACTAATTCTGCCATAGCCTTCTTGTTTCTCTATCCAGTCTTTCAAACAAAAAGCTATCCTTCCT